AGGGGAACACACCAGGAGGCCCCCTGCACTCTCCCAGCTCAGTGACTGGTGCCTCCTGGGTTTTGGGGCAGGGGTACCTGGGGTCCCCCTGTGACTGATCACTGAGCTGGGGAGAGCATGGGGGGCCCCCCCATGCTCCTGTGGGATGCTCCATCTGCCCCAGCATCACAGCCTTCACAAGCCTCACCTGGTACCTTGAGGTACATGGAAAAAACATTTAAAGCTGCGTCCATGGCAAAATCGTTGATTCTCTGAATCAGCATCGAATCTTCCGATTCAGAGTTGGCTGAATGTAACCGGGAACAACAATCCGAATCAGCAGATCGAATCACTGTCTCCGATTCAGGCCAAATTGAAATCAAATACGGCCCATTTCACACACCCCTACTGCTTACTTGTATCAAATGAAAAAGCAGAGACCTAAATACTGAGATGTATTGCAGTAACTGCATTAGCAGGAGAAAAGCAGCATGGGAACATTTCACCAGGCTCTGAGGAAGCCCCAGTATGTGTTATGTAAATTTTATTAAATGCCTTCTCCAAGGGAAAATATTCATAAGCAGAAGGGAAACAATCTCATTGTTTCCTGCCAACTTCTCCCCCAGAGAAGGTAATTCCATCACCTTATTGACCTGATCCTCACGACCCAGAAATTCTTTTTTTTAAATGTAGGTCTTCCGTTAGACAGTCAAAGCAGCTGCCATTGTGTATTTAGGCCAAATATTTTTCATGTTATTAAATAGTTAGCTCTCATGTCTCCTGGAAATAGCATTAAAGGTAAGTAATACTGCAATTTTGTGTGTGTTCTGTTCTGTCATTAATTTCCTTAACTAGCGCTGTGGAGAAGAAACAGATAGAGCCTGGCCTCCTTTTTTGCTGTTCCCTAATCATTGTAAACTTCCTGTTGTAGTGGGAAAATAGTTTATGTCATGAATGATGTCTACTAATTTTTGCTTTAGATATTACTGTTGATAACTAGACACCTCAATATTTGATCAACCAACACTAAACACTGCCCACTGCATTTTTCAGGTTGACTCCCCCACCCTTTTCTTTTTTAAACCATATAGTTCACTTGCTATACTGAAGGAAGGCTATGTTGATATACCTTTATTAAACCTGGGATCTCAAAACACTTAAATAATAATTCTCCCAAAGTGCAGAAAAACAGCCCTTTCTGCTGCTCACAGTTTTGTGCTTACTCAGCACATGACCCTCAGTCACTTCTTGCTGAATCTTAGGTTTTAGTTATTTGTTTCTAGAGCAATTGTCTGGCAAGTGAGATGGGTGGGTGGCATATAATCAATTTAACACAGTGGTCACCAATGTTTTCCAGCAGCGGGCAGGAATGACCCAGCTCAGGTCTGAGATAGGCCAGCACTAAGCCCACTCACTGCCACTGATTCTCCCTGCCACCCAACCACAGTCAAGGTGTAGGCAAAGTTCCCTGCCACCCAGCCATGACACAGTGTCGTACGACACAGGCAGGATCCTCACTGCTGAATGCTAGCAAACACTGCAGGCCAGATTCAGCTATAGGTTGTCAACCCCTGATTTAACAGGCGTTTTGGATAAGTTTTGAATGTATGTGCCACATATGAAAGGCCTTTCCTTTCCTTTCCTTTGATGATACATGTATCTTTTCTTTGAAACTGGAGCAGGAAACAAGGCAAAGGGCACTGAGAGAGGCTCTAAAGCAGAAAGATGCTGCATAGTTTTAAAGATAATACCATTTCCGCCTCTTCTCATGAAATGCTTAGTTCAGTGTTAAAGTGTCCCTCTCTCTGAACCTTTGCCATTGGCATACAATTGCTTTCCTAACTGAGTGCTGAATGTGCATCAGCAAGATTATCAGTACCTACTGAACCGTTTCAAAATGTCATTACTGGCACCTTTGGGAACACGTGCCTGACAGGCCAAACACCCTAAGTAAATACCAATATCATAAACAAGGACAGGAGAGCATTTGATATTTCGATCTCCAGAAAGCTTTGACTTTTTAGATTTAAAAAATATCCCCTTGCAAATGACACATGCTACAGTTGGTTGACCTCTTGCTGTGACACCTTCTGGATACAAAGGACATGCAGTGCATTTCAGCCACTCATCTTCATTTCCAAATTATTGTTTGGTAAGATAAAAAAACAAAAAACATGCAAATGACTTCACAAAAAATGACATTAGTTCATTAATTGCACAGCCTTATTTCCGGTCCTGCACAGAAGCTGGGAAATGCTTCTAGTGATACCAGAAGTGGAGACTCAAAACAGGCCCATCAAAAGCATTGAATTGATATCTGATATTTATCAATAAAATGGGCAATTAAGGAAAAAAAGGTCCTCAGATGAAGAAAAAACTGGCAAAACTACAGTGATCACAAACTCTTCCTACCTCACAACTTTACTGTTTTTAAACCCTTTCCATTTTGTTCAGTTACTGGAAACATTTTTTTCCCCAACAGGAAGAGTATCTCATTCCTACTAAAATGGTCCTGAAATTACATTTGTATAGAACCATACGTATTAGAGTTTTAAATATTGGAGGTTGAATCCTGGTTCTGCTGAAGGGAGTGGGAACTTTACTATTTATGTAATGGGATCAAGTTTTGACAATAAAAGCACAGTGCATTAAAGATGCTTTTATTTTTATTTTTACAAAATAAATTAGTGAAATATTGAATATTAAGACTATCTGAAATGTAACCTGTAGAGAATGCTCTGTCTTATTTCCAGTCACTTTTCTGAATCTATTGTTCTTTTCATTCCTTCTTTCATAAGAAACCAATTGCATCCCTTTGGCCTTTATTGTAGATGAACAAGAGAGTTCTGGAGCAATTATTTACACTGTGGAGCTCAAACGCTATGGTGGACCTCTTGGAATCACAATTTCTGGTACTGAAGAGCCCTTTGACCCAATTATCATCTCCAGTCTTACTAAAGGAGGACTTGCTGAACGGTAAATTGGAAAAATAGTAACATATGTTTTACTTACCAGCTTCATGCCTTCCACTATTCACATGAACTAACACAGTAATTTGTTGATTTCCTAAAATCTAGGGGGAAAGACTCACCTTAGCAGCTTACAGTCTTTCTGTCATCAATTTGTTTTCTGTATTTTTGCCAGGCTTGAGAATAACATGCCTATTTTAGCATGGCAATGTTAAACCTCAACCTTAGCTTTCCTAGAGCAATGGAATAGCCAAAGGATTGTGTGTTTATGTATTTTTTTTAAATATACAGTACATGTGTGTACACACACATGCACATACACATAAATTATGCATACATGCAGCCTGTTTGTTCAAGAACTTACACATAAATGTAAGGCACTCTTAAAAACAAACAGTTATCTTCAATAATGTTACCTAATGGTTTTCAGTGTTTCACACAGTAAATGTTATATAGGGGAACTTGCAAATATTGAGTTTATTTTACCTATAAGAAAATCTTATATTTGTTTTATGGACATCTGGTATGTGTGTATGTGTTGTTGTTGAGCAGTAACACTTAATAGACCTCATAGGTATATGAACCGTGGAAAAGGTATAACATTTTTCATCTTAGTACAACTATACTGAATATACTCCAGCAATAGTCATTTTTAATGAAAATTATAAATTTACTGTGCTGTCAGACAAATTACATCTTGTAAATATATTATTTATCTGTTTTACCCTGGCCAAATCCACAGGCCTCTGATGGATGTTTAGAGCCTGTGTAAATAGTGACTTAGGTCAAATTTTGAAACCTGGCTGGTGCTTTTGGACATGGTAGTATTTGGTGTGCAATATGACATTTCTTGGAAGGGCCTTTTAGAAAGGTCTGGGCATCCTCCCTTTCAGGTGTCCGAAATCGGTCAACATCAATTACTGTCATTTTTTAAAGTCTTGGCTTAATTTCCTAAGGAGCAGGTATATAGAACTGTCTCAACTGGGCATGTTTTTTTGACAGTGTCAAACAAAAAACAATGATGTAGGGAGGGACCATGTCCATTAAGAATGAAGTCTGCATGTATAAGTACACAGCCCAGAACATATCTGTTCCTCTCTTGAGCTGATCCTATGAGAACTGGCATAACAATGAGATAGTGGTTCATTGCTCTCATTTCTGCTGAATTTTCTGTCTCTGTCCTCTGATTGTGAGACTACACACTGGAAAACCTACATTTACATTAAAATCGGTCAAAGTAGTTTAGACTTTTTAAATGAAGAATGACCACAGAATCCTTAGCTGGAGCAAAGGAAATTAAAAATATCCACTTCTGCACATTGACTTTGCTATTGGTAGTATAGCAGAGGTGACTTAGGGACTGGACACACAACAATTTATACCTGTGTAATTTTCATCAATTTTATTTTCTGATATAAGCCCAACCAGGATACAGAGTGGACAAAGTATCAGCTATTCTGGGATAGCTGTATGACACGGACTACTATTGCAGCAGCTTTCCAAGAGGTGGTAGAAGGGAGCAGGTTTACCTTGAGTATACTGCTACCCCAGAATAAATTACAGATGCACACCACATACATTGGTGTTACTTGAACTGGTGATGTTTTTCTCTTATTTTTCCAAGGAAAATTTAACACCAGATTCAAGTAAGTTTCACTAGTTTAGGACTATATTCCTTTTTACACTGGTATAAAGGTGCTATGAATCCAAGCTCCTAATTGAAGCACCCTCAGTGATTATTGAAGTTGCTAATTAAAAGTAACTCCAATAGTAATAATATCAATGAGAAATTAAAGGAAGAATGTAAACATAGAAATAAATTTATTTTGCTGCTTTTTCTGTTCATCTTTTCTCAATGTTCTGTTATTCTCTTTATTGTAGGACTGGTGCAATTCACATAGGAGACCGCATCCTAGCAATAAATAGTAGCAGTCTGAAAGGAAAACCTCTGAGTGAAGCCATACATTTGTTACAGATGGCAGGAGAAACTGTAACCTTGAAAATCAAAAAGCAGACAGATGGTAAGTATGGCTGTAGTTACGTCAACCAATTTATTTCTACACCTTACAGAGCACTGGACAAGTCATGAATGGAAAAGAGGTCAAGCATCTCTATATGTTTGCAATCAACCAATAATCACTTTTGTCTTTGAATCCTATTCAGCGGCAAGTCCCAAGAAATTTCCTGGTTCTGGTCACATAAGTGAAATGAGTGATGTAGAAGATGAAACCTCTGCTGCACAGAAAACTGGCAAACTCTCTGACATATACTCCACTACGGTCCCAAGTGTGGATAGTGCAGTGGAATCATGGGATGGCTCTGGTATTGACACCAGCTATGGGAGTCAAGGTACTACCAAGATTTTACACAGCACTTAAAATAGGCCTCATGCAAACATTCAGTTTCTCCTGGGACAGTTCCTGCTCTCCCAGGAGAAATCGTGAGTGTACAGAATTAGGGACAGAAATTACACATAAACCAGTGTAAGTGATCAGCAGCCACTTCAAATCTGTAACACAGCAGAAGTTCAGTGCACATAAACTAATTTCAAAATGATGAAAACAGGTTTAAGGTAAACCTAAACAGATATAGTATCAGACTTAACTGATTCAGGTTAAATAAGCTTATAGAACTTGTGTCCCAGATTTTCTCCAGATTCAAGTTAACTCATAGTCCCTCAGCATCCCAGGATGTTTTGCACCTCCCCTGAAAATTCCCCCTTTCAGGGTAGGCAGACTAGCCTTGGCCCAAGCTGTCTGCTCCAGCTGAGCAGGGAGGTGTGCTCTAGTGCCCCCTAGATTCTGGTCTGGGCCACTGCAGGAATTTGGCTGCATTTCTGGAATCAAAAGTGAATGCCTGTTCACTTTCTTATTGGCTTAATGTGCACAGCTTAGACTAAACTGTGTAGATTTAATCAATTCGGCCATGGGCGTTTCGACTGTCTGTACTTCAGGCTTTTTCTCTCAGAGTAAAAATGGCCATTCCAGGAGAAAAATAACCTGGGAACAACCAGGGTTAAATCACTTCCAGGAGAATTTCTGGAAGAGCAAATTTTTGTACCTGCTGACACCACAAGCCTGACCATGGACAGTCTGGGTTTTCCAATCAGAGCTGCCCTATGCACTCTTGCCAGGCAGTCTTTAGCCAATACTGAGGTGTGTGCACAGGGCTCTCCTTCTCTTGCCCCTACCCCCACCCTGCCCTGGTTGCACAGTGTCAGCACTGCAAGCTCACTACTCTTCAGGGCCTTAGCATTTGAATGTCTATACATATGGCTCTGGGTAAGCTTTTCTATCATGAGAACAAACGTGGGAGAGTTTTCCTAGACTGTTTGCATGTATGTACAAGTTTATGGCTGAACCTTATCTGCCTTACAGAAAATCCTACCTCTTATCCCAACTTTCAACTTAATACTTCAGAGCGTGCTTGTGTCTCACCATGCCCACACACCTTGCTGTCTGGTGTTCCTTCTTACACTTGGCTGGCCACGAGTTCATTCTTTCATGACAGTGTAATGAATTATGAAGCATTTGTCAATATATTAACAGGCTTTCAGTAGCTTTACTGATGTCTGAATAGCCCAATCCATAGCTCATCCACAGCTAAATGAATTTATCCATCAAGCTTAGATTAATGTAAGGCACACAACACATTGAAGATGTTCCTTCCTTTGAGTATTTGAGGTGCATGCTCAGTGATTTTAAAACTGCTTACAGTAAAGATTCATTGTAAACTGCTTAAAGGGAAGCATGAGAGATTATTCAGTGATTTGTTGTGCTTGCATTCCTTCCTTAGTCATGTGACATTAATATCGAAGTCTAGCTCTGGGAGCAATCACTGCATTTAAAGAAATTATTTCAATTAAAGAAATAATGAAATCTTGTTTTCTTGAAAACATGTGCAGTTCTATTAGACTGTTTGCTTAATAATATATTTAAATGGTTCAACTTAAGTTATGTATATAAAGCAATATTTTAGACTGGAGAAAATGAAGGCAGCTCTTTAATACTCTAGATAACCAAAAAAACCCAAACAAACCCAAACACTTCATGCTACTGATATGCCCAGTACATACATTACGGATATTTAAACAGACAAATCCCCTCACCAAAGAATGTATTTGCCTTCTTCTGATTGCACACACTCCTACAAGTGTATATGCATCTCTACATTGCAGTAAACAGTTTTCGGGGAGAGAAGGCAGTGAGATCTTTTGGCCCAACTTTCTTCCCCTTCCTCCCCACCATAGAAAATTTGAGCAGGACCTGGCACAATGCTTTGTTAGCTTAGACTGAAGTTCTATGCTGATTATTTTGATCGCTTATCTTCAATTAATGTATGTCTACTCAGTGAAACATTTGTTGCCTGCTGTCTGACACTCCTTTGAGACCTAGCCAATAGTATCAGAGAAAGTAGCTGATACTAGCCTTGATTGCTGGTTTTCTGTTACTTAATGTTTAGATTTAATGGTCTTTCAAGGTACATCCTGCTAATAACTCTGTGTGGAACAGAAGACTCTCTCTTGGCATTTATTTGTGAGTGTTTTTTTGTGTTTTGTTATTAATTTACTATTACATATAATGTTTCTGTGGCCTGAAACTTGATACCCATTACAGTGATTGGGCGTGTATGTATGTTCCAATTTAAGGCACATTAGCCATTTTTAAGGTGTATTAAGAATGCAGGTCTACATGTGTGCACCCTTAATGTGCCTTAAAAATGGTGATTTTAGGCTAATCATGCATAAAATAGGTACCAAATTTAGGCGCAATTAGTTAAGGCACCTTAATGCTCTCTGTGTCGACTGAATGGGCTGGAGCTGAGCCCGAGAGGCCCTGCGCTGCCACTGGGTGCCATCAAGATGAAAAAGTAGCAGGTACTGTTCTTCAAGGTGTAGGAGCTGGAGCTGGAGTGGCAGTTCTGGCAGCAGCGGTACCCGTTGGTGTGCCGACCAACTTGGGACTAAGTCAGCAGAGGGGGCAAGAGGCACAAGGGCTCCTGTCAAAGCACAAGAAAAAGCCCCATCCCTCCTCCCCATGACTCCCTGCAGAGGAAGGGGGCAGTGCTGCATGGGCAGGGCCATTGCTAACAGCTCCCCCATGCCTCTCCCTTAGGGTGGGTTTGCTGGCCAGGCAATGCAGCCCTGCTGGGGCGGGACACCTCACTATCCACCCAGGATTCAGGTGCCCTTAGAAACCTATGCTGGGGCTCCCAGCCAAGACAGCAGGCGGGCTGGGACTGCATCTGCCCCCAGGGCCTGTCGCACCTTTCTCTGCTCTACCCACTTCCATCCCGGACAAGTGCCCAGCCTCCCAGCTAGACAATGCTCATGGGAAAGGTGTTGTGAGGTCCTAGGGGTGCTGTGGTGTTCAGCATGGGTGCAATGTGCGTGGGGGCCTGGCCATGGATCAGACAGGCCTAGGAGAGAGCCTAGCCCCCACCTGCATTGCACCCAGCCTTCATGCACTGATACACATAGAGCCCCCAGGAGCTCACACTGCCTCTCCCATAGTCAGTGTCTGGCAGGGAGGCTGGGCGCTTGCCCAAGACAGAGGTGGGTGGAGCAGGAAAAGCCATGCTGGGTGCTGCAGGCAAACATAGTCCACCCTGCTTGCTGTTGCAGATGGGAGTCCTAGCATGGGCTTCTAAGAGCACCTAAGCTCTAGCCTGCTCTTGTCTGATGCTGGGGAAGCAGAAATATGGGGAGGGGTTTGGAGCCATGGATGGAGCCAAACTGATCACGTTGGTGGGAACTGGAGGTTCCCATCTCCTCAGCCTGCCCTGGCCTGCACCGCCCAGCTATGCTGTTGTAGGCTTTGGGAGCCCTCCAGGGTGCTGCCCAGAGCAGGCTGAAGACACATTTGCCCAGTGAGCCGAGTTAAGGTGCCTTAAGGCACGTACTTGTAGGCACACACCTAAACTGTCTTAATGTGCCTTAAGCTAAGGCACACTAAGTTTAGGTGGGTATAAATTCACATGTAGACAAGCCCATTGAAATCAAATTCACTCTTGTGTTACTTTGATATTCTTGGATTTTTAATAGGGATGGATGAATTTGGTCCATTTGTGTATCTTTTACCCCTTGATCTGGTAATTACAATGCATTATGTTGTGTTTTCTTTAGCTTCATGAATATGAACACATTGCTAGGACAAGTGGTAGATCAATAGCTGTTTTGCCTATGACTTGATCTTATTTGGGGTAATTTCTCTACAGAACTCCAAAACAGGTTTATTGTTGGCAGTGAAAGTGTAAACATTCCTCACGCCATCTTGCAGGGATTGGTAACCTTTTGCTTCCAGAGGCTAGAGTGTGCAAACCAGCTCCCCACCATAAGCTAGGAATTTTAACCCCAGGGGACCTGAAGCTGCCTGTGCTTGCCCTTGCTGCAGATACTCAGCCCCTCAGCAGTGAGGGGAACTACAGGCATGAGAGAAGCAGGAAGGACTGCAGAGCAGAGTGCTGTGGAGGGGATGGGTAGCTAGGTGCAAGTTGTTGTTACACAATTCCCTGTGCTAGGCTGGACCTTCTTGAGCTGAATCCAACCTCTTCACAGCTAGAACAGGTCCATGGGCCAAAGGTTGTTAACTCCTGGCTTTGGACATAGATGGGACCATTGCAGCTGGCCCTGCACCGCCCAGGGCTCCACGTGTCTGCACTCATCCCAGCCCATACTGGAGCAGCCCCAGGAGCAGCCGACACCAGTTGCCTGCACCATGACATGATGCAGCCCAGCTCCCCACAACTGAAGCAAGTAAGTCTGTCAGGGGAGAGGAAAGGGCCATGGCTCCACTCACCCAGCCCAGGCTGCAGTGGCCCTGAGAGCTGCCGGTAGCAGCTGCCTGCAGCCACTGGGCTGTACCATGCCCCGAGCCCCTCACGGCTCTGCCCACTTGCCCAGCTCCTGCTGCAGCTGTTCCAGAATTAGCCAATGCCAGCTCCCTATAGCCACTGGGCTGCACCATGCCATGGTGCAGGCAGCTGGTGTTGGCTGCTCCTGGGGCCTCTCCAGCACAGGTTGGGATGAGTGCAGCCAAGCAGAGCAGGGCATAGCACTTACCCCAGCACCAGCTGCAGTGGCCCCAGGAGCTGCCAGCACTAGCTGCCTGCACCAGGGCACAGTGCAGTCTAACAGCTACAGGGAGCTGGCATCGGCCACTCCCAGGACAGCTACAGCAGGAGCTGGGGTGAGTGGGGACAGGCAGAGCCCCGGAGGACTCAGGGCATGGTACAGCTCAGTGGCTGCAGGCAGCTGGTGACAGCAGCTCCTGGGGCCACTGCAGCTGGGGCTGAGGTGAGTGGGGCCATGGCCCTTTCCTCTCCCCCCACAGATTTACCTGCTTATGTGG